CTATGAAGGCATAACATGTGTCTTCCAGCGATAGAGTTGTCCCTTGTATAACCTCATGACTTAACAGTGCCGAGAAATGTACAAAGCTTTACTAACAGTAGGACCAATGGATTTTGGAACATGTGTAGTAATGATTTAATGTAATGAAATTTCACATCATGATTAGAAGTGAGATTTTCTTACCATTACCAGAGACCCAATTACTCAGGTCTAAGAGAGACCGCTACATCGCAATACTACAACTAATTTTTGGCTGTTTCTGCTACGGAAAAAAAGGAAAAAATCTTTCATGCCACTCCTGAAGCAAATTAAAGATCAGCCTTTGAATAGTATCCAAAACTTTTTCTCTCTTAGTATTACAAATAAATTGCTGTACTGCGAACACCAGTAGTTTGTTGGTAGTTCATTGCTCCATGCAGCAGCAGAAAGAACAAGGCACGACAGCAAAGTATTTAACTAATTGAGTCTAAGTTCCTGCAGATTTGGAAGCCCCTTTGTGTTCTAAAACAACCACTGGCAACAGTGGAAAGTTCAGCTGCAGATACACGTGAAGGTACAATGAAACCAAGCGCTAATTTTAATCGACAGAAAGGAAGGTAGTGTCAGCCAGTACTTCATGACAGCACAAAGAAGAATCTGAACTACAGCTGACAACCTTCAAGGCCTTACAGAGCCTCACCCAGCATCGATGTCTCTTTTTTCCCTTCTAAAAAATATTGGGTGTTCTCCATGTTTTCTGCAAAATAAATGACAACTTTCCTCCAATACGTTAGCACTCCCTTCTCTATTTTGGTTATATTCTCCCTCTTGCCATTTATGGTATGTGCAGAATATTGCTCTTTCTTAACACAGGATTATTCTTTCAACACCACAAAATAATCCCACACTATAGTGTATGCTTGCGACCAACCTTTTCCAGCTGGCCACATGTTGTTGCAGTGTTCTCACTGCCCAGAATATCCCTGGCAAACACAGCAGCCATTCCCTACTGTTACAAACACTGTTAGCTCAGGTAGCGGGATAGCTGCATGCGGCTGACTTCCCAGAGGAAGGCGTGTAGCATTAAATGAATAATTGCGAAAGGTGTAGGAAGTTAGGATGAAAGCTTTTATTTTTCCTCCACTTCATTCCCATATTTTGGAAATGATGGGCAAAGTACCTGACATTCTGCTTCTCTCACCTACGAGGTTTCAAACAGGGACCACTGAAACAAGCACAGAAAGAGGATGACTCATCCTCTTTGGTTATCTTGCGCGCCCTGGTGAGTACGGCCAGAGCCAACTTTCAGAAGACTAAACTGAGGTAACGCACACCTACGTTAACTTACATGTGTGATTTTCTCCCTCCAGTCTAAGTAGGAAGAGAATTTAAGCTACCTTTCCCAGTACACTAAGATACTGCATTCACCTCAGATCTTATATAGAGACTGTCAGAGTTTTTGGAAAATGTTTAAAAAGGTAAAAGAAGGGAAAAACATTCCCAAATATGATGGTTTTACAAATGGGAAAAGATCCCTCTATGCTATGCTACCCTGTAATTTTTTTTTTTTTGAGATTCTCACCTTCTTTTTAACTGAAACTGAAAATTAAAGTTTTCTAGGTAGCTAGAGTGAATTACAGTCCACAAGTGTACAAGTTTGATTACAATAGGTGTTTTCAGTGCTATCGTATCTGGAGAAAATAAAAGTGCAAACTTCTGCAGAAAAGCTGATTGGGCCTTTATCTTCAGTCTAAAGAAATATTAAAATTTAAAACTCCAATATTTTTACTGAAATACATTAAATCTCACTACACAGCAATGATGACTCCTGACATAAGTACATCTCCAAGTTAAGCATTTTACTGTATATAAACTGTGATGATTTGACTTTCCAAGACTGTCGGGGGAGTTCCTGGCTGTCGGGGGAGCTCCTGGCTACTACAATAGAAAGCACCTGTGCCTTGTTAGGACAGGTGCTGTGAGTCACGTTGGTCAGCCGGAAACCACGTGACTCATGGATGAATAAAGGTGGGGCACTCCCAAGAGGGAGTGGGGCAGTTCCCTCCTGGAGACTGGAGTGATAGGAGCCCCTGGAGAGCAGCATCTTGAAGCTCTCTGTTGGAAGCCTTTGGAGTGTGATAAAGCCTTCTGATATACGAGGAAGATCACAACAACCTTCTGGGTTGTGATCCCCGAAGATTGAGACACCAGTAGTCCGCAACACAAGACCAGAAACTGTTCTGTAGCTGAATATAAAATGCAGTTACTACTGTATTTTTGGGGGGAAACGTTGGAATTTTACATTACAGAAATTTAATAATAAAACTTTGAGGATTAACATAATATGGTAAGGAAATATAACACTAATAGTTAGCAATCAAAAAAACATGCTATATTCCACTTTGCTCAACTATAAATACGAGAATGTGGCAGCTAACTGAATTGAAAAAAATGCTTTAATTACTGACCTTTTAGACTACTTAAATTCCATTTTTAAAGCAGAAACTACTAGATATTGAGACCATATCTATAGTTTGACATGAAATCCTAAATGACAGTCAGTTAACCAAGCTGCAGGAATTAATTCTTCCTACTTTGCCTTTCTCTCCAGAAAGTCACTTTCAGATATTTTGGAACTGGAGCTGATGTGACCATGAATGAACTGAATAAAGTCTAAGACCCGATGGCTGTTAATTATTTATGCAACTTTAAACCAAATTACTGCCCATGTTAATTTGTATTCAACAGGTATGGAAAGGAAGCTGGTGTTAAGAGTGCATGACAAGAAAAACTGAGATAAAAATGGATACTGGCCAAATACATAAACATGATGTCCAGAAAAAGAACGGATTGTAAAGAACACAGTCTCTTCTTCAGCAACAGATGTTGCTGAACTGATTTAGAGAGAAAAAAAAAAAAAGCATTGTTTTGTGGGTCATGGGCTGCGACCGCAACTAAAAAAATGTTTAGTAGCCTTTTAGTTAAAGTACATTGTAACAAAGGGAATCAAGGCTATTGCTGAATCAGGAGACAGCTGCAGAAAAAATGTATGATTTTTTAAAAAACTATCTGAACACACTGAAGAAACTGGACCAAATTTCAATCAGACATATATGCATAATTACCTGTTCCCTCAGTTACATTAATTATATTTTGGAATTAGATTATTAAAGTAACTGAAACCTAATTTTTCACATGCAAGCAAAGAGTAAGAGAGAATGGCAACTGAGGTATCTGGAGAGGCTCAGATATACAAAGGTACAAAATTCAAATATGACATCAGAAGAGAAACACCTCTTATTCACAGTACAATTGCACATCAGATTTACTAGTGAAATCCCTATGGTGCACTTTCACAACGTTAAAAATATGATGTCAGGAGAAAATAAAATGAATTTAAAAAAACATTCCAGTTCTTATATTTTCTACAACTCTGGTCTTTTCTGTTAAGTATGTAGATTTTAATAATCTGAATCTTCTAATGAAACATCTTTAACACAGTCTGAAGTACGTGCATCTACAGTACTTCATATTTTCACACTAATTTCACACTAATTCACTTGTTACATTTTTGTTACTGTTGTTGCTGAAGGCTGATGACAGTAGTAAGGCAAATTGGATTGTGCCTTTTTAAGAAGAGAGGAAAAAAAGGAGAAAACCTAATGGATTTCCTGTACTGAGTCTAAGCTACATCGATAGAAATCAGAAGCATTAAGAAAAACTTTAACATGCTCATAAAAGAAAAACAGATTAAACTCTTTTCACCAACTTCTTCAAGGGGCTATACAGGTGTGCTTTCTTCTCCATAACAGAAGACAGTTACTCTATGAGAGAGAGCTTTTCAACAGAATTCTTTAAAAATATAGGTTAAAAGGGCAAAGAAGGGAGGGCTAAAGCATTTCTGTAGCAGCCACAATAATTCTTTGATCTTACTTCTTCATGCCATTAACATCACAGATTTTAAGCAAATAACAATAGCTTACGAGCCACAGGATACATACATAAGGTATGTTTAGATTACCAGTTAAATGTGTATTTTTGAAGAGCTTTTACGGGATGTGCGAAATATGCTGAAGCAGGAAAATAAACAACTGTGCAACGTAACAAGTGTTCTTACTGTTTCTTTATTAGTTTAAAGGAACCTGAAGCTAATAACAATCTGCCTCTTACACTTCAAAGCTATTGATATACAGCTACTTACTTTGCATCAGCTTCCCTTGGGAAGTTGTTGAGAACAGTTACGTACAGTGCAGAATTAAATTTTTCACACTTAATACAGCATGTAAGTTAACAAACTTCTTCAAACATAATGTATAAGGGAAGGAATCTCTAGAGTCTACAGTACTGATGAGTTAACTTGTTTTCTATGTTTTCCTATTCATTTGTTTTCTGTCTTTATACAAATCTTCTCCAACATCGTCAGATTCTTAAAGATACAATAAATGGTTACAAAAAGTCTCAAATCAGACATACTACAAAAATCAAACCGTAACTGAATAATTGTCTCACTAGCATTAGATTTTTGTGCTTAATGAAGTTTAATTAGGAATATATGCACAGGAGAATACTATGTTAATTTTTTTCCTTGTTTGTGTTGTATAGAACTAAAAGGATACCATGCAGAAACCGAAACCTGCCTGGCATTGTTTTATCTTGATTAAAATTCAGCACATGAAACAGGTTAGATCTACGGCTACATGACACATCAAGACCATGACATCTTCCAATTTCATATCAACAGTGCCTTGCAAAGGTTCGTTTTGTACCAGCACTCTAGTTCAGTGCATTCTGTGAGTTAAAACTTCTGTTTGGAAGAGGCAGTAATGGACTGCCAGAAATATATTATCATACAACATACAGCTTCAGCTGAAACTTTTGAATTGCAGAATTAAACCAAAATAATGCTTTCAATTTGGCAGCAGCATATCGGACCAAGACTAAAGGGATGCTGAACTCAATAAAATTCTGTAAAATAATCTTCATGTACAGAATGGCACTTTTGAATGATCTCACGCAATACGGTGAAGTACATGAATTAAAATGGGCAGAATGACAGACTGAGTGAAGAAAAGATGCACAATGAGGCTTGAGGCAGATAAATTATTAGTCAAAAGGCATCTTATGCAGTAATTTTAATACTTAAAAAAGGTAATAACTTTAAAAGCCCTCAACTTCACATTTTAGGTCGGAGCTCTCACTTCTGTGAATATTAATTAGTACCTCTAGAGTAAATTCCTTATTATACTGAGTTGAAAGAAACACAAGTCAGGTGAACTGTTCTTCTGGGAGACGCTTGAGGGAGTGTAGTCAAACTTCTGCTTCACTGAGCTTACAAGTCTTCGGGTGAGGACGTTAACTGCTTCAGACTCTGTACTTTTCTTTGCCATGATCATTGATAACACATATGTGCTGAAAAAAAATACAACACTGATTGCAACAGTACAGGTGATTACATTAATAATTATTAATTAATTGTTCAGAAATACTTCTGCCTGACCAATCTAGTGACCTTGTAATTACCCCTTCCTTTTCAGAGACCTGGAATTGAATTCTGATTTCACTTTCTAGCTACAGCAAGTTTTTCCACTTGCAAAACCCAGCTTTGAGGTCCACCCCTGGGAGTACCATAGCAAGCAAAGGCAAGACTTGCACCTTTTTTCCATCATTATCTCACTGAGAAAAGGGGCAGGCAACATAGCAGTAAAAGTCCAAAGCTGTCTGAACTCCAGCTGTGTTTCAGTTTTTACTGCTCTCTCTGCACATACTGGGAATGATGGACCTGTGAAGTCCTCGGCTCACAGAAGATGGAAGTGTAGCAGAGGTTATGACTTCTGCTCTGAGGGGAAAGAGATGGGAACGAACTGTTCACAGTGCTGATCACTTGAGGTTTTGCAGGGAGTTCTACACTCACTGAAAAGATCTCAACCATGACACTAAGGCCCTAGGGAGAAGGCAAATTATGGGGTCTTTAAGACATCTTGGAAAACTGAAACAGTGATTTTTAGTATGTTTTTTAAAAGAAACTTACGTTTAGATCTCTGAAGTATTCATTGTAGTCTAAGGCATAACCTACCACAAATAAATCTGGAATTTCAAATCCGTAATCTGTATTGAGAAAAATAAAGAACACCGTCAATACAAGATAGATGGTTATTATACAGCCCTTAAATTCATGTGTTGGTTCTCTGACAAGCAAACTATAGATATACATATAGTCAGTTCAGGTTATGTTACTTTAGACTCGGACATCAAGGTCAGCAGTAGCCCCACAGACAGTTCCTGCTCATAGACTATTTGTGACAGGCATGTGAATAGTCAGTGGAAAGTAGGAGAGTTGTGTACAATTATCCCTGGCACAAAAGACACACTGTGGAAGAAAGCCAAAATCAGAGCAAAGAAATTCTGCCTGCGTTTGAAAGCTCCATTGGTATATGTGTCTGATGACACTGTACAGTATCACACTAATGATGAAAAGGAAGTATAGTTTTAATTCAGAAGGAACTTTCAGAGTTTTATATAATAATTTTCCTCTGAGAGCAGCAAAAACTATTTTTGCATATTATGCTACCAAAACACGTCAAATGCTTCTTAAATTAAAGCCCCAACCTTATGAAGACTCATGAACATGCTTAACAAAGTAAATGCATGCAGTGTAGCTGAATCACACAACTCACATGCTTCAGGCTAAGCCTAGGCATGTATCTTCTATAGTGTGAAGTTTTTTGCAGTATCAGCACTATATAAAACAAGTTAAATTCTTCCCATACTGTTCAGTAAGTAAGTAGAGAAAAATACAACCTTATGGACATAAAAATAGGTCAGCAGAAAAAATTTTACAGGTATTCAAGTAAGAAATTTATTCAATTGTTAAAAATTGCAAGTAATAGATACTTTGGAATTGTAAATTCAGGTGAGGAAATGACAGAGCCCTGTCAGTGATTTAAAGGAGTGATCTCTGATGTTTTCTAAAATTCATCATGGTATGGATAAACAAGGTTAAAACCTGTTTCATTTTACAAGTTATTACACAAAAATATTAAGCTACCCTTCATGAAATAATATTATTGCATTTTTTATATGTTTAACATTTGTGAATCCAGTTAAATATATACTTTAATTCACTCAAATAAATTCTAAATGTTAAAAATACCACTGTATAAAAAGTTGTACAAAAAATGTTTGGGCCAACAGTTCAGATTATTGGGCAAAAACTGCAGGACCATGCCCAACATTGAGTAACTTTTGCTTCATAAAGTTTCGCTCTCTCCCACATCCCAAATCAAGACGCTTCATGCTGCCTCCTGGTACTCACCTGACTACTCTCCTTCTACCCTCCTCCCAAGCTCACCTGAGCAGAGCCTTCTTCAGAAGCAAATACTGGTCAATCTCTTCTAGATGCACCTATTCTTTTCAGTATTTAGCCACATATCTGTTATTACATCATTTATTCTAATAAATCTAAAATGACAATAACTTGGTATAGCTCCTTTTACGGCTTCATCATAGCCACAGTACAAGTACCAATAATTCAGAGAGAAGTGGTGCTGGTGTGACACAAACAGAGCAGCAGGAGGAAGTTTAAAAAGCCCAACGTACAATTTGCTTTTTGGGGGGTGGGATTTAATTATAATATCATTGTTTACCCTTTAAACAATAATATTTCTCAAAAAAAAAGTGTTATTCTGTCATAAAAATTTAAAACTTGTGAATAACTAGGTCACAATAAAACACCTTTCATGTTCAAATGGAATCCTGCAGCTCCTCCAAGGAGATGCAATGAGGAAGGAAAAGGAAGAAATGGACTTTCTCTTCTATATAGTTTGTCAGAGACAGAAGATAAACCACCCACTTTTCATGGACAAAATTAAACCTTTTCGTAACTTCCCTATAAAGATAGTACTCTGCAGAAAACATCAGACTATAAGGAGGCTACGCTTTCCAAAAAACCATTGTACAAATCCTTTCATTGCATCCCATAGTCCCATTGACAACTGATATTTTACAATGGTTCTAGTAGTCCATAGAATGATATGAAAGGCAAGTAGCAAAACATACACAGATTTTCACAACACTTACAATCTGGTCTGTACCCATCAGGCCGAGATGTTCTTTTCACCAACAAACTGTAATTAAAAACAAAATAAACCCCATGTAAATCTAGATATGTACCTGAATAACATACATAAAAACTATTGCCTTTTGCCAAAAACTTCTGAGCCATGTGAATCACTGTTCTCGTTCTGCTTCTGCTCCAGACAACGTCCTGATGGCAGGGAAGAGATGGGTGTGTCCAAAGTCCATCAGTGTCAGTCTTCAAATGGCTGAAGGGTCACTGCCACTGCAGAACAATACAAAAGTATTTCCTTGCCTTTCCTCCACCCTCCCCTTAGTGACTCGGGCACCTCCTCTGCAGAGCTCCCCATGCAATACTGCAGCATCAAATAAAAGCAGGATCTTGGAACGGGAACCTCCATGGGAAAATATGTTGGGCTAGACTAATTAATGACTAAGTTTTGTGATCGTTTACTCACCTTGCCACTTTAATCATTTTTGGCTTGTATTTTTCTATATTATTAAGCAGAACTTTCATAGTCCTTCCAGTTCCAACAATATCCTTACAAAACATGAAAAACAGAATAAGCAAAAAACAAAGGAAAGCTGAAAAGAGGAAATCTGGACAATGACTGAGCAGTTCCACCTTCTTAATTTGTGTGAATGATGCATTTTTTCCCAGTATTATTGTGGGCCACATCCAAAAAAGGTTATAATTGAGCTCGCATTTTTTGAGGCAAGCAGTTTCTACTATTCAAATAAGCAGTTAAAGGACTGTTCGCTTCCTCTTGAAAACAGCTATGTTTCTATATCTTGAGATGTAACACAGGACTGGAGATGACTTTACTGGGCACTGCAAGGATGCAGGGATAAGACTTCTCATATTATGCTCAAGACTACAGTATGTCAATGTCTCTCCATATCAGGGCTAAATCTGCCCTATTTGTTGTTTTATTAGTACAGTACAAATGAGTATTCTCCAGAGCTGCTGTAGCCAACATGATTTGAAACAAAACTGACTGTGACATGGAGAGCAGCTGTTGATCCTGAACTCTGTGGATGTGGATTTTTCATTAGCCACACCTTGTCTCTGCTCCCCAGGTACCTAATAGCGTTAGCAAAATTTGCTGCGGACGTTTTTGATTTCTGTTACAGCAGTTACCATTAGCAGATATGGGGCTCCTATCAGCTATTCAGGTAACCACCCATCTCTGTGGCTGATCAATATTTTTCCCTGTCCTTTGCTAAGAAAAGACATTGAACATTCATACATTTCCTTCATTACACTGTCCAGCTTACTACCCCCACAAGCAGACTGGGCCTGAAATGCCAGTCAGATGCTGACATGCTCTCTAACCATCCCAGCTGCTTTTCCAACATTTTGAAAGAGAATCACCTACATTAATTAACAGAGAATTTGCAGCACCAGTGAGGTGACATGTTCTTTTCCTCTACAACCAAACACTGTTGATTTACATCAGCGACACACCTGTGATGGACCCTCCCCACAGCACGCTGCAGGATGCAATGCTAACGAACAGGAGTCACAGGGACTTGAGAGAATGACTGACATTCTCCACCAGCGCGTGAACAATCCTGAAGTTGTGAAGCATGTGCAGGGCTATGCAAGTATTTCAAAGTCACGCAACTGAGAAGTGCAAGGCATCGCTGCAGTTGAGTCATTGTCCTCCAAGGAACAGAACGACTTGCAGGACAGGAGTTGACGAAATCATAGTAAGAACAAATCAAATGACACAGAAACAAAGACTCCTGGGTATCACAAGGCAGAGTACCAATTAGAGCAGCAGCAACGTAGTTTGATCCGTCATGCAGTTGCAAAAAGACTGAGAGGTCATTAAGCAAATCAATCCCTCTCCCTCTTCACCACCTCCCAGCTAAAGAAGTGTAAACACAGATGGGCTTTAGAAACTGAACACGCAACCATGACTTGACTATGTGACTTTCAGTACGATATGACGTAAGCACCCAACTTACCTCCACAATTAGAACATTCTGAAAGAAACAAACAAAAAGGAATACAATTACACAATATTCACAAACTAAGAGACAAATGTTTGCAAAAGTGAAATGAAGATAGATGGGTCCGTGTGCATACATACAACACAGTAGGATACAAGGAGTTTCCTGTTTCATTTTTGTGCCCTGAGAAAGAGCCAGCCATAAGAGCAGGCCCTGCAGTCAGGGGCTATGACTTTATTCAGCTCTGTCTAGATTATCGTCTTTGTGCAAAAATGAATATAGCTTGGGAAAATAAAATTAGATGGAAGAAATCCAAATGGGATGAGCTTCACTTCATTCCAGTGTGTCTAGCTGTGTACTAGAGTGTACCCTACAGTTCACTAAAATACTATTTCCAATGTTAATATGAGACTACAGCAATAATATTCTTACTCTGAAATAAATACTATTCCTCTCTCCCCCCACCTCCCAGAAACCTCACAGTAAAAGATTATAGGCCAAGTTGTACCACTCATTCTCATACTGTGAAGCACTCTCTTTCTCTTCAAATACTGCTGCTGAAATCCGTTGTTTTACTTGAAGAGAAGGGGAGTGGTCCAGGCAAGAGCAGTGATGTCAAGCCCAATGACAGCACGATCACACAGGCTGATATTTTTGCTGAAATGATTCGTCACTGTTCCAGGGATCACAATATCTAAGGTGACTTCTATTAAAAGCAATACGAAGTAATGTCCTTATTAGAAGGAATAAAAATCTATTTATTAGTGAGCGTTATCATATATATGTTCAAAAGGATGAACTCTTAAAATCTTGCATTAAGATCTACTTTCTGAGGTGAAACCTGCAATAGGAAGAGGAAAGCTACTTCACAAATACCCGTATCTATCTATCTATGTATACATCTTACATGCATATGCACGTTGTATGTGCCGCAAAACCTTGAGACAGATAGTTTCATATCCATGCAGTATTCACCAGACTAGCTTACATTCCACTTCCTTCCTATCAGGCTTGTTGGCTTTGCAACTTACTAAACACGGAGACTGTTTAACTTGCTTTTCCATCACAGAATCCCAAGGTTTAGAGTTCTGAGACTCAAACACTATGGAGAAGGAGTGTGTGAAGGGAGTGTGCTCATAAACAGCACACCTTTGACAGTTTCATTAACTGATATGTAAATATTTTTTTAATCTTCAAACCAGAAATTATTTATCTAGATTATCCATATTTATACTCATACTGCAGTTCCTTCTAACAATCACAGTGCTTGGTAGGGAGACATAGCATGCTTCATGCATCAACCACTGCAGAAACATGTTACCACACACTGTATTATACCTGGATGCTTCTGAAATGGCAAAACACTTGGTAAAGGTGTGGAGGGAACTCCCAGTAGTAGCTCAGCAGATGTCAGCAATGGAGATATCACTTAAGAAAGCCACTAATTTAGACTGAGCTCCGGTGAAATGTGTATTAATCTTGCAGGGTGGCTCCTTTTTGGTGTTTTCATAACAGGTTTCACTGGTGGTTATCCTGCTTGGCACTCCTGACTTTCAACCTCTCAGCTGCTGACACAAACAACTCTGGATCTGAAAGACCTAGTCCTGTGGAGGAAAAAGTCAAGGCCTCTTAACAAAAAAGCCCAAAGACGCCCTGCTTCTAGACATTTCTTCCTTCAAGAAAGAACCGAAGTATGTCAGTTCTCTAGATAAGATGAAGAGACCAAAGCCATGTTGAGCAGAAGCTTATGATAGGTGTGCAGAACACACTTTCTTGAAGAAAGCCATTTGGATCCGAAAAAGGGTTTGGCTCTCATATGGCTTCCTAGATGAAGACATAACTAGGAAAAACACTTCAAAAGACTAGCACAGGACACCTGGGTCTGAGGCATAAGCAAATCACTTGATTCAGTCAGTGAACACCTGAAGACTATATGCAAGAACAATGGTTTAACCATCCCCCAGGGACCCTGCACAGCTGGTGATGTATGTAAATATTTATGTGTGTATATATACATACACATATATCTATTCAGCATAGGGAGAGAGCAGAAGAGTTGACAAGGAAAGAACCTCACCAGAACTAAAGACAGAAATTAATTCCTTTAGTACCAGAAAACAGTCCAGGATGACTGCGAGTGGCACCTGGTAAGAAAGGCTGACCTGACATCAGCCTGACATCCTGACTCATCCTGCCAGTTTCGTGCATCTCTTGCCATTCTTCATACTGTTGACAAGAACCTTCCTCCCAAAGGAAAAGCACAGATCTTCTAGTGACAAGACCTATCCAGCAGCTGTGGTATGAGACGGGACATACCCAAACTAACATGGAAGAGGGCTGCAAAGTCTTGCATGAGCAGACTGCACCAGGGTGCAGCAAGACTGGTTGCTCCCTGAAGGAAGGGCAGCCATGAGGTGAGCATCATCACACAGCTGGCAGTGCAAGGGCCTTGCCGGTCAGGGCATAGCCCCACAGTGCCCCAGCGAGGTGCGCAGGCAGACCTGAGACTTGTTCAACCAAGGGTGCCTATCATTTGGTGAAGTCACAGTGACAAGGCAGATCTGAGGTCAAGCTGGGAGGTCAATTCACAGGTTAGGATCAGGTCCAGTGAGAGTAACCATGATCAAACACAGCCCACTGATCTCCAGGCAGGTCCACAGTGATGACAGAGGTCCAAGGTTAAATTGAGAAGTCCACCTGTGAGTTAGGGTCTGGATCAATGTCTGTAGTAACATAGAGGCATGGCTGTAGCTGAGCTGAAGATCAGTACCCATATAGCACAGCTCAGGCATGGAATAAAAGCCCAGGGTTGAGCTGAACTGAGTCTCCTCAGGTGTAGACGGGGGCCCCAAGTTACACAGGTCATGGCCCTTGAGGCCTATTAGTGCACACAGGGCTGTGACAGACTGAGAGAAAAGCATAGTCCTGGGACATTTTGTTGATAGACAAATATGTTTCTTTGCTACCACAGCTGCTTCAGCTACCCTATCATGAGCTGCAATAAGGATTCTCTTGCTTACTCGCAAGTGAAAATCGTAAAATTACACAGAATGAAGGGACAGCAGCCTCCCCGGCCATGGAATTGGGATTAAACCAATAGAGAGGAGCAGACCCTAACAATTAACTCGTGAGAAAAAAATCATAGACATTAATAGAAAATGGGACTGAGGAGACCATGAAAGGTCATCAAGACTATTCTGTTGACCTGAAGAATCAACTTAAAACTATGCCTCACAGATATCTGATTTACCTGTTCTTGAACATGATGAGGACTTCAGAACTTCCCAAGGCAACGTGTCTCAGTGCCTCATTATCTAAGAGCAAAAATACAGTTAGAAAACTTCTGTTGCTGTTTGACCTGAATTTGTTTTGCAGTGGATATAGAAAATGCTTTATTTTCTTCTCTTTTAAACTTCTTCTATATTTGAAGACAGATGTATTTCCTCAGTTTTCTTTTCTTCAGATGAAACAACTCTATTTATTCAACATTTTCTCACAAGTTATATTTTCTAGCTTTCTGATCATTCTTTTGTTCTCCTCTAGAACCTGTTCAGTTGGTCAGAATCCTTCTACGGTTGTGTCTCAAATCAGAGAGAAGCCTTTTCCAGTGTCAACAAGAATAAAAGAACCACTTTGCATGCTTTACAAATAATCCTCCTTTCTATACATGCCAGTACAACAGTTCCATCTTTTATAAAGGTACGCTGCTGTCTCGTGCAACTTGTGATCCACCTATCGTCTCCAGTTCAGAGCTGTTGCTTAGTCAGTTCTTTCTCATTTGCATTTATGCAAAAGATCACTTCTGTATAAACACAGAAGTTAGTATTCATCTTTACTGTCACTACATGTCATTCTTTGAACCAAATTCTAAAAATGATTTCTTAAAATCATAATACTATCTTGTAGTATTTTTCCAGGTAGTATCACTAGCATTAAATACTAATTCCATCTTTTAAATCATGAATTAGATATTGCATAGTCCCTGGAGAACATGCTTGAATGCATCCACTCTGGCAGTGAACCATAATTAACTGTTTCTTGACAACAGCTTTCCAACCAGTTACACAGCCATCTAATCGAAATTTAATCTTGTCTACATTTCCTTATCGTAAATGACTCATATGAAGGAAAGAAGATTAACGTGGATCCAGACATGCCTGAAGGGTTTGTCTGGCCACAAGAGTGATAGTCACCTCAGCTGAAGTGTAAGGTCTCGTATTTACTGACTAACTTGAAAAGGAAGGATATGGTGGACCCTGAAATGTCTGACCAGCATTCTATTATTCTTGCCTCTTCTCCTCAGAGTCAAGGAGTCCAACAGTTGCAAATGATATGCATTGGGAGATTTGGTCCTTTGAAAGTCCCTTTAATCAGGCAGTTGTCTAGGTCAGGAAACACAGATTCTGTTTTGTATCATGCACACTCTCATTATTTCCAAAACACTGATGTAGATTTTCTGTGCTATGGAGAAATCCTGTCCGTAAGGACTTTGTAGTGGAAAAGCCACTATAAAATATGTAGATACGAAAACATTGTGTACACATAAATAAGCAGGCATCCTGATCATTGAGAGTGACACATTAATCCCTGTTTAGATTAGACAGGGTTACTGTGACTAAAGTCATCACACTTAACTTTTGGTTATGACTGAAGGCATTCAAAATGGTTTGCCATCTGCTGGTATCAGAAACCATCTCCTACAAAATGACATGACGTGCTGGGAAACTGACTGTATTGCTGCCTGTCCCTACGTTTCTCCTGATGAAGCAGGCTACTGATAGAAGGGTTCCAGAAAAGGGATGGCATAGCAGAGTACTAGTAGAGCAATTAACTGCCAAGAAATGTTTTGACATACAGTATCCAACACTAGATAGTGCTGATGTGTAACTAAAACTGCTTGAAATAGATTTGCTTATCCTTGAGCAGATGGATAGAAGAAGACAGAAGAAGAATGCAATAGATACAACAAATTGGTACATTATCTGTAATGTCACCATCATCCTAAATGCACAGCTGGCTGCATGCAGCATATC